CCACCGGGAGACTTTTCTTATCCACAAATTTGCAGACAAGGAACCCACAGGGGACGCTGGCTATCCCAGGACAGTCCCTGCCAGTGAGACCCTCTGAGATGGCCCTGAGCTGCCAGCCCAAGGCCAGGCTGACACTGCCACCCACAGCCACCCTCCTGTCCCCACATAGCTCTGCAAGGAGAGAAGGGGAGTCCTAGACCACTTCAGGGGATGGTGTTCAGCTGCAAACGGGGTTGGGACCAGGGTGCCACCCCTGCCTGAGGTCAGGTGGCTTTGGGGCCCAGCCTTCCTCCCTGGGTGCTGGCTGTAATGTCCTCCTGCTCCTAGAGGGTCATGGGCTCAAGGGTGTCCATCTGGTCTGTCTCACAGGCATCCTGGAGCCCAGGCCTGTCTTCAAGAGAGGAGGTGGGGACAGCAAAGAATGAGAGAACACCCTCGCGAGAGAATGCCGATGACATGGCCACTCTGCCACATCGGGGGACCCCAGGGAGTCTGTCCCTGTGCCCATGGCACCCCTGACCCACGAGCCACATTGGGCCAGCCCACCCTCAGCCACACAAGGTCCCACCTGGGGGCCTGAGGGAGTCCCCCATGGCCCCACCAGGCACACTGGGCGGGGCTCTTCCTGGCCATGTGCCTGTGCCGTGTGCACTTGTGCCTGAGTGTGCATGCGTGTGCCCCTGTGCGTGTGCCCGTGTGGGCACGTGTGCACGTGTGTGCGTAGATACACAGTTCCTATGAGGGGCCCAATGCTTTATCCTCCTTTTTCACTTAATGTCATCCCGCGTGCCTGTGCCGTGTGCACTTGTGCCTGAGTGTGCATGCGTGTGCCCCTGTGCGTGTGCCCGTGTGGGCACGTGTGCACGTGTGTGCGTCGATACACAGTTCCTATGAGGGGCCCAATGCTTTATCCTCCTTTTTCACTTAATGTCATCCCGTGTCACTAGCAGTTATGGAAAACGCCATTTTGAATGTGTGACTTCCACCTGTCCCAAGTGCACCGGGATGCTCTCTCTTCCTCCCGCTGTTGTGATGAGACACACCGTGTTGACCAGCTGTGCACACGCCCATCATCTGAGTTTCTGGCTATTTCCTTTGCATGTTCTCAGGAAGATGCTCACTTGGGTGGCTCTGGGTGGCCACGGCAGGCGTGGCCATCTAGAACAATCTGCTGTGCTCACAGACAGAGGGCAGATCCCCTTCCTGCTGCAACTGGCCTTCCTCTGCCCTCCCTGGGATGGACGTGTCCCACTGCCACCACCCATCTGCTTTCTGTGTGTGAGGCCCATGCCTGGCGTGGGGGACTGTCTTCCCTAGCGTCCATGACGGCAGCCCTCGTGTACTACGGCTACCACCCTGGGCCTCTGCAAGTTGCTGCCAACATGCCAGGCTCTCCATCCACGGTGACTGACCTGTCAGGACCATCCCTGTGGTCACACACTCCAGGACGCACCTCATGGCATCCCCGGGGCTCAGGGACCTGGTCGCACTGCTCAGGGCCTTCTCCACCAACAGCTCCGTGGCCTGGGTGGTGGGGCACAGAGGAGACATGGTGCTTTGGGGGAGGCCATGGCCAGCCCCCTCCCACTGGAAGTGGCTCTACTGGAGCTCAGCCTGGGGAGGATCTGGGGCCCCTGGGACAGGGGGCCCCTCCCAGCTCTTTCCCTGACCCTTTGAACTTCTGCAGAGGAGGGCGGACAGGGGGGCATCTGCCACTTCTCGCACGGCTGCAGGCAGGTTTCTTCCCCTCTGTAAGCCTCAGTTTCCCCACCTGTGGTCCACGGTACAACTAGTTGGGGTCACACCCCCTCAGCCATTGTGTGTCCCCTCTTCCAAGGAGCCTCCCACTTCCACCCCGCAGGTCCCTGTCCTGCTGGCTCTTGAGGGCAGGGTGGGGAGGTGCACATGGTGGCCCCCAGGGCACAGTGTGTGGTGCGTGTGGGCGCTTCCACATTCACAGGAGGAAAATGGGTTTCGGGGACTTGGGGTCTCTCAACATCCGGATGGCCCCATGCTAGTGACTTCCTCAAGGGCCTGGAGTGGACATTTCCCCTGGACACTGGGCGGACACCGAGGCCGGGGTTGTGGATAACGTCAAGGGTGGGCTGGCCAGGAGAGTGGCGGGCCGTCCCCACTGCGCGCAGCCTGCGACCTTCCTTCCTCCACACGCCGGCCCAGCCCCCTGCCCGAGCGCGGATGCCCAGGCCAAGCGGCTTTCAGACCTACACATGGTGTCACCTTCTGGACTGAGCATGGTGGGTGTGTGGATGAGGGAGGGACAGATCAGAGACAGATTGGCGAGGGGCGCAGGGACAAGACGCAATCCCACAACAGACAGGGACCCTGGGGGCAGGGAGGAGGCTGAGCGGGGGTGGTTGGTGTGGCCAGTGGGGAAGGTGTGGGGGTCGGGCAGGGACCTGGGGGGTCTCACTTGGGGACACGGGGACTGCTCCATGAGCCTCTTGGGGGTCCGTGCATTCTCTCCTCTCTCCTTTCCATACAGATGGGCTCAGGGGCCTATCGACTGGGGGGCATTAGGGCCACAGAGCAGGTGGGGCTGGGCCAGGCCACCTGGAGGTCACTCAGCTCCCTGCCCTCTGTCTCAGTCCCCCCCCCGTGCCCAGTGCCACCAGGCCTCGGCAAACACCACACATTCCAATGGACACGCATTTGCATGCCATCCTGGCTTCCTCTGCGGAGTTTGGGGTCAGGTAATGACAGGCAAATGTGGCTGTGGTGGAGGCCTGCTCCCTTCCCATGGGGCTCTGTGACTCCCCACCTTTGTCGCCCTCACTTGGGCTAAAGAGTACGCCGGCCTCTTTGTGCAAAGCTGCACTCAGGGGAGAGGGCATTTGTCTCTGGGCCACCAGGGCTGTGGAGCCCTTCAGGGATGGCAGCGGGGACCAGCCACCATATGCTGCCTTACCTGGGTCAGCAGGGCCCCTCAGGTGGGCACACGCTGGCAGAGGTCCCGGAGGACCCTGAGGACAGTCACACGCCGCTGCAGGCCGCTGGCTCGTGCCTTTGGGGAGGAAGCACACTGTTAGCGCTCGGACACCACGGCCCACAGGACCCGGGCAATGTGGCCACAGGCGGCAAGAAGCCTGACTCACGGGGCAGGGGGCCCTGATGCGGGCGAAGGCCAGGGAAGGACACAGGGACCATGACCCAGCCAGTCTCAAGGGCAGCAGGTGGAAACAGAGTCCCCTTCCCCATGAGCACAAGACATTGTGAGACATGGAAACAACCTAAATGTCCCTCCACTGAGGAATGACAACTCGGCCCACTTGTTCCTGCTGAGCCCTAACCCGACAAGGGTTGGTGCTTGGCTGATCTGGTCAGGAAACTTGGAAGGAGTAACTGCTGCTCTTGGCGTGGGGACACTGCGTCCTGCAGGCAACCGGCCTGGCACTGGTGATTCACACGGGCTCTCAGTGACATTATGCCTCCGATTGCTTAATCACTCTGTGAGGTGGGGAGGACACCTCAGAACCTCACTGAGCTTCCTTCTGCAGGTGAGGAAACATGTTTACAGGGATGCTGAAGCCGTCACGAACTCCATTTTTGGATGTACCTCTGATAGCAAAAGGGAATGTCTGCCCTTAGAACAAACGGGCTCTCAGTGACATTATGCCTCCGATTGCTTCGTCACTCTGTGAGGTGGGGAGGACACCTCAGAACCTCACTGAGCTTTCTTCTGCAGGTGAGGAAACATGTTTACAGGGATGCTGAATCCTTCACGAACTCCATTTTTGGATGTACCTCTGATAGCAAAAGGGAATGTCTGCCCTTAGAACAACAGCTGTCACCAGCTGCCACCAGACCTCACTTGGAGCCTCAAAGCTCAGGCTCTGAGATTCTAGAACAGGGGGTTCGAGGCTGATCAGAGGTGGGGGCTCCCAGCTCTGGCTTGTCCTGAGGGTGAGCAGGGCCTTGAGGAGGGAGGGAGGTGGGGATGTCCCCTCACCTGGGCTCACTGCCCTCTTCCTCCTGGCTTCTGCAGTTCTCCTGGACCGGCATGTTGGACACCAGCTTGGGGAACGGCTCCACGTGGGACACAGCCTTCTGGACTGCCAGGAGCTCCTGCTCCATGGGGTAGATGGTGGCGTGCCTACACATGACGTGCCGGTCGTCACTGGATTCCAGCCACTGCCCAGGCTGCAGGGAGAGGACGCACAATCAATGTGAGTGGAGGGGTCTTGGGGATCAAGGGGGCAGGGGACAAGATGGTTGTATTGTGGTGGCAGACAGTGCCCACAGCAGTAGGAGGACTCGAGAGGGGGCCCCAGGGCCAGGCTGGCTTCGGGGAGCGAGGGACAGGCAGGCAGGTGGCCATGGCCGGCCAGGTTAAGAGGCGGGCAGCTCACCATGGACAGCCATGGGGTGGTGAACAAGGGAGGTGTCCCCCACCCATGGCCGCAGGCAGCGCAGGTCTGAGTGGGGGGCCAGAGGACCCCGCTTGGGCAGTGTTCCCACGTTTCCAGCCCAGAGCCTTCTGAGTGAGCCCGAGGCCTGTCCCCCGCAGCAAACCTAGAGTCCTGTTCAAGCTCGGGCGACAGATGCTCTGAGAGGCGGTGTTGGGACAGAGGAAAGAGGTTCCCTAAGGGATGTGACAGCCGAGGCTTCAGGAAGCTGAGGGGACCTCTGTGCCCAGCAGTGGAGTGCTGGGGAGCTGGGGCCCCTATCTGTGGAGTGAGGGGCCAGGCCCTGGAGCCCGGGCCTTTCCAGCCCCCATACCCTGGAGTTTGGGAGTCTTGGTGCAAGGCCGGGAGCTCCTCATTCCTGGAAGAGGCCAGGTCCTTCCAGTGAGGAATCGGGAGGGAAGGAAGGTCCTGCCACCTACCGGGAGCGTGGGCGTCCCTGGCCTGCCTGTGAGCGGAGGCGGGGTCTAGCCGGGCACTGTGTGCTGCAGCTGCTGCTGCTGGTCCTGGAGCTGCGGCTCCTCCAGCTGCCTGCAGCGCACGGCGTACTGCCTGGGGGGACGAGACGGGACAGCAAGAGGTGAGGCCAGCGGTGGGACCCCTGAGCCCATCATTTCAGAAACGCTCACGCCCCATGCCCCACTGAGTGGGCAGAACGTGGCTTGCTCTGTGTGCGGCTCCCCACTGCTGAGGGCTGCCCGTGTTGGCCTGCAGTGTGCACACGGAAGCTGAGAGCAGGAGAGGCCAGCAGGCGGGAAAGGTCACCCCCGGGGGTGGCTGGGGGACACAGCAGACACCAGGGGTAAGGAGACACAGCAGATGTCACGGGTTAGGGGACACAGCAGAGGACAGGGGTCAGGGGACACTGCAGACACCAGAGGTCGGGGACACAGTGGATGCCAGGATGTCGGGATGTCACTGTGTCCCTAGTGCCAGCACAGGTCCCAGCATGCAGACAGTGGAAGTGCCCTGGTGCCAGTCTACCCTCATTTGCTGTGTGGCCCCGGGCAAGCAGCTATCCCTCTCTGAGCTTTGGTTTCTCCGACTGTTAAATGGGATGCCAGCACCTTTCTCCCAGCGCAAACTGCACTGAGAAGGCAAAGAAATCGTGTTGTACAAAACACGCCTGGCACTGAGGGCGAGGCTCAGCAGGTAGCCCGACACACCCACAGAACAGCCAAAATCCAAAGCACGACCGACAACAGATGCTGGCGAGGACGTGAAGCTACGGCGCTCTCATTCATGGTTGGTGGCGATGCAAAATGCGTCAGCCACTTTGGGGGACAGTCTGGCAGTTGCTTACAAAGCTAAACATGCTCTTACATAGGATCCAGCAGTCACGCTCCTAAGTATTTACCCAAAGGAGCTGAAAACTCCCATCCACAGAAAACCTGCACATGGCTATTTATGGCCGTTTTATTCATCATTGACAAGACTTGGAAGCGACCAAGATGTCACGTCCTTCAGTAGGTGGCTGGATAAACAAACGGTGATGCATCCAGACAATGAAATTTTATTCCGCACTAAAAAGAAATGAGCTGTCAAGCCATAAAAAGACATGGAGGGAACATCAATAAACGTTCCTAAGTGAAAGAAGCCAGCGTGAAAAGGCTCTACTGTACGGTTCCAACTATATGACATTCTGGAAAAGGCGAAAAGTACAGAAACAGTAAAAAGATCGGTGGTTGCCAGGGGTTGGGGGGAGGAGGGATGAACAGGGGAGCACAGGGGATTTTTAGGGCAGTGATGCTGTAATGGTGGACACATGTCATACATTTGTCCAAACCCACAGAATGTCCAACACCACAGTGAACACTGATGTAGACACAGACGTTAGTTAATGATACTGGGTGCCGGCCGCTTAGCTCGGCTGGTTAGAGCGCAGGGTTATGACACTAAGGTCAAGGGTTCGGATCCCTGTACTCAGCCAGCTGCCAAACAGAGGGAATAAGCCTGAGGCTGCAGAACAGCAGGGAGGGTGTGGTTTGTTTGTTTGTTTGGGGGGGGGGAAGAAAATATACAGACGTGATTGTTTTGGCAGGGGACGCTGCTGTGGGGTGGGGGTGGCTAATACTTATTCTAAACACCCTTTGGGATCTTTTGAATTCTAAAACCTGAGTGTGTTTTATCTATTGAAAGAAAAAAAAAAAAAAAA